TGCAACAGGGAGGCGGATGGAGAGAGAAATTCCTCATCAGTCCTTTTCGCGTCGTCGACGAAGGGACTCAAATTCTGGCATGCTCACGCGACGGTGCCACTTGTCGCAGGATTTTCTGCTTTATTCCGCACTCCTTAGCCAATAAGAGTTGTCCAAGACTATTTCGCCCTCGGATCAAAATCGTTTCGATACCGGCTGCTTCGCTCATCACGATGGTAATGCAGTGCAATGAAAGCCTGATTTTCATTGCACTGCAGGAAATTTTCAGCATTGTGCTGATTGATGCAGTCAGAGCTTTTTTTCCTATATCCAGTATAGGATATCCCAATAGAAGGGAGACCATTCTTTAGATTTCTTCATTAGTTGATAATGTGTATAGAAATTTATGATATTTCATTCTCAAGCATGGCTGCTTTCTCTCTTAACCTTTATCGTACGGATTTAAATCTCCCGCATAAGCGCCGGCTGTCGGATTTTTTATCCAAAGCTCTTAAACATTCGCTAGCTGATTAGTGCAATTGTTCTTTAAAAAAAATAAACAGTTGATAGTAAAGTCATTATTGACGGAGTATCAGAACATTTTCCCAAAAAGTTACAGTATAGCATTTGTACCTATAGGTGATGGAAAAAGGCATTCTGTGGCGCAAAACTTGCCTTTCGGCCGATAAAGGTTAATTGAGAAAAAAAGTGAAATAATCGTGAAATACAATGGATAGCCCATTTCCTCTTTAGTGGTCTTATTAAAATCTCCATAATTTATTTATCTTTTCGCTTTAGTTGCGAAAGTTTATAAGTCGAAATAAGCCGTGACCAAGTATTTTGTTTTTATAGGAAACATCCAGCATGCCAACTTTTCCAAGAAAATGCTGAGCAGAGAAGCTGTAAGCGGCATTGAGTTTGTCAAACTAAGTTTTTCGAGAAAGTGGGCGGAGCTTGACATCCATTCCGTCGCTGGAGCATTTCTTTTTTTTTTTCTCAGGGGCTCTGCTGAGGCTTCCAGCATCTCATCACGACATATCAGGGCTGGCCTGCTCGACGCTCTCGAAGTTCACTTCGTTCCGCTGGCAGCTGCTTGCCCAAGAGTGGCGTCCTTCGACGACGTGGTCCAAACACTGGAAACGCATGGTGTGGCGCTAACAAGGCTGGCTGAGTTCAAAATTGGCGTCGAGGAATGAACTTCACGTCACACTAAGCACCAACACGAAACGCCACCACCATAGGCAGCACACCACGTTGGGCCCACGTTGGCTTCCCCGTGGCAACCACGTGGTGGGTGAGTGGAGGAGCGTGGGCCAACTTCACCGTAAGCTCCCCGTGTAGGCCCCATTTCGGTGCTAGTGCGTCGCCAAACATTTGTCCTATCTGTAGGCAGGCCATCTATCTCAGTTGTTCGAAAGTGAAGCAATATGGCGCCGAAATATCCAATATTTCAGTGGTATCAGGGAGTGACTCGCTGTAAGTCCACCAGCATTTGTTTTAAACAGACCAGAGACTTCCGGTAATTGTGGAGAAAGGACGGTTCAACTGAGAACCTGATTCCATGGGGTGATAATGATTCATCACCTAACTGGGGAGGTTGTGTCTAGTCATCCTTCGAGGGATGAAGATCATGGTGTGACGAAAAATGTTGCCATTCACCGGAAGCTATCTGACAGCGGGGAAAGAACTAGATGAGTCATGACTGAAGTCACAATGAGGATCTAATCCCATATGGAAAGTGAATGTCTCAGAAAGCGATAATCGAGGGAGGTAGTTACTCTCTGGAGTATCCTTAGCCAGACCGAGAGAGACTTGACGGCAAGGTTCCTGGTAGATAAGAAACATTCGTGTGAAAATATAGAAGCCTATTTCGGGCCTCTTCTATGCCCATGCAAGTTGTGCCGCAAGTCAGCGTTTAATGTTGGCCAAACCGAGGGGGGGGGGGGGGGAA